GTTTTTGGAGGATATAAGAAGCTTTAGCATATTCAGGTGGCAGAAGTATCCATTTACGTTCCACTGGATAATAGTGTTGAATGATAGCATATTAAAATGTGGAGTCCACTGAAGAGGTTTCGTCATAAGAATCGTTAGATTTATTCTCTAAATGGCGTTCTAGTTTTTTCCTCAGTCTGGTTACGCGGTTTTTTATTGTTTTGTCTTTTATATGAGGATAAATTGTTAAGAGCATTTCAATGAGTGATTTTATATCTGCTGTGTACTCGTGAACAATGCTTATTGTGTCTTTTGCACCATGGGTATTCTCAAGAAGGCTTTTCAGCTGATTATAGTCGAGGATGTAGTTCTCATCGCTGCTATTTATGAGCAATTTTACTGATTCCATATTGTCGTCTAGAATATATGAGTGCGTAGGGTCTGATTTTGGCTTTTTCTTTGGATTTTGTCTGGGTATAACAAGTTCTGGCATTAAGTTGGGATCTGTGAAGGGTGTTGCTTCCGAAGTTGGAGTTGTTATTTCGGAAATGCTTCTCTTGTTGTTTGCACTAGTTGTATTTATCGAATTTACGGAGGTTACTGTTGACATCGAAGATTCTGCCTGCGCCAAATTAAGTGCGGTAGCGCTGGTCTCTGATGGGTCATTTATTGGCTGAGCAGTTGCTGAGGTTGTAGTTGGGCTTGGGGTTTCATTAAGCGTTTGTGTTGTGGATGAAGAGTTGGAGGACGCTGGACATCGAGAAGCAATGTGACCTGACATTTTGCATTTGAAGCAGCTTTGACTATCAAGAGATAAGAATACTCGATACGTAAGGTCATCGTGGCTGATTTCTAGAGAATTGGGAATTTCAGATTCTAGCGGTTCAATATATACCTGTCTTCGGAAACTTAAAATATGATTATATTCAGGAAGTGGTGCGCCGATCTTCAGAAATGAAATAGGCGAAACTGTTTTGATGCCTATACGTTGTATGCTATCTTTGATTTTTGCGTGCGGTATTGTGGGGCAGACATTTGAGATGACTAATCTATCTGCAGGTGCTACTAGTCGCCGTGCATGTGCAACTTGTCCTTGCAATTCGATTTTTCCAGGATTATTGAGAAATTTGTCGACTATTTGCTTGTTGGAGAAATAAATGCATATACGGTTATTTGAAATCCTGGTGCAGAATATTATATTTTTTGGATCTACTATGGGGCCCAGCTCCAAGAGGTAATCTTGTATCCTGGTACCCTCGATGGAATTGAAAACGATGGCTTGATCTGTATTGGGATGCTTGTAAGTGACTGGCTGATTTAGTACAGTAGAATAAGATGGAGCATTGGTGATATTTGTTGATGTTGTAGGAATACTTTGTAGAGACATCTTTCTTGGTTCAATTGCCTTCTTTCAGATGTGCTGTGACCATATCTGAGTACGGTACTGTGTTTTGTAACACGACGATGAAGGAGTCTTTTTGTGCGACGTGAATTCCACAAACGCAGGAGGAAATCTCAGCACTGTGGCTAGCACACACTGCTGTATTGCTTCAACAGCGGAATATCGATGAAAATTCGATGGTTTCTTACTCACAGTAGGCTGCTGGCTTCTATCTTGATGGTATGGATATGTCACTATGCACAAATTACTAACCTTATCTACTAACCTTAGGTAGTTCAAAAATCGTATTTTCAAAATTTCTTTGGGATCATCATAGCAGCCGCGGTGTTCCGGCATTTAAATAACGTCACGTGATGGCAAGCGAGGAGGGAAGTAATTCGAGTATTTTCGGAGACTCAATGCTGCGAACCGGAAGGGTAGCGGAGTATTTCAATTGCAAATATTCCAAGTTTGAAAGTACGCTTTTAAGGCTTCATATCTATATCACAAAAAGCCATGGTTTTCAATTCCGTCGGTTTGTCTGTTGCCGATTTTATTAGCGCATAATCCCAGTAGCATCTGCACCGATTTCAATAGAAGTTGGAGTGATGAAATGTAAACATGTGATAAGGAAATTATGGATTCTTTATGTTTGTTGGGGGTATCCGATTATGTTCAGTTTTTCTTTATGGTGGGTTCGAAAATTTGGAAACTCAAAAACGTTGTTTTTTGGCTTTTGCTTTTTAGAAGGTATCCTTGATTTTGTGGACTGCTCGATGTTCCGATAAGTTCAGGGCATAGTCAAAGCATTTTTTGCATGGGTTACAAATTTACGAAACAAGATGGGCATCCTTCTTTCGCATGCTAGTGATGTTTTGTATAGTCTAAATCGAGTAATTAGTGTACTTAATGTTGCTGAATGGAGATCTTTGGAAGGTAATAGAATAATACAAGCCCGAGTTAGGAGACTTCAATTGTATTAAGAGAAATAACTGAAACTTGGCACCACTGCACGGAGGACTTATCCACTGGTGTTTAGATAATTTGAGTATTTTGGAGGACCTAATGCCGCTTTGTTATCTGGAGAGTATTCCGGTAGAGGATAGATCATACGGTTTTTGAAAGGGAGAGCTATATAGCGGACTTTGTATGGAAATCCGAAATGTTAATGTAGTTTTTTTAACTGATCTTGGATCAATGTGTCTTGGTGTCGGATATTCACGAATTAAATTTGATATATATTCAGTATTTCTGGTAGGTGACTTATTGCTGGTTTATGAAAGGAGGACCTATCCACGTGGAGATGTAAATATATATATATATATACAGGGTGTCCCAGAAGTCGACGTCAAGCCGAAACCGGGTGATAGGCAAAGTCATAACAGCTATCAGAAAAATATTTAAAAAAAATTTATGTATGTGTTTTGAAAATTATAGGTCTTTGAAAAAAATATAAAAATTTCACACCCTACGGCAGTCTGTCAACTCTTGTTACTACAAATATTAACTTTTTTTGGATTTTATTTTTACAATGTAATGATGAATAATGCATCTTCAAACTGGTGTCTCAACCTTACTGCCAACTTTTCTCGTTCAGGAAAAATTGCCACTTATTTTCCAAACAAGTATTCCAAAGTAAAACTTTGCTCAACTTTAACTGGCTGTACTGGAAAAAATGTACTACGCGAGTTTGGCAAGTAACCTTAAAAGTTGGCGCATTTAATAACGATTCCAAAATGGCATAACACTTAGAAGATTACTCGTTAACTTATGCACAAACTGTTTTCCTTCAGCCGCAATACACGCTCGACATCTTAAAAAAGATCGGGTTATTAAACGAGCGAATCCACGGTTATTAACAAACTCAGCTGCTTCCAATAGTCTTTGCCGTAGCTCAGCTACATTTTGAATCGGCTTGAAATACACTTTTTCTTTTACAGTTCCCCAGTAAAAAAAATCTAACGGATTAAAATCTGGTGACCGGGCTGGCCACGGTATTGTACCAGACCGCCCTATCCATCTGCCTGGAAAGTTTTGATCGAGATACTCTCTCACTGAGAGTGCATAGTGCGCTGGGCAGCCATCATGCTGAAACCACATGTCCCTGTAAATACTCAGTGGCACGTCCTCCAATAAATTTTCTAAATGATTTTGCAAAAAACCTAAATACACCTCAGCAGTCAAAGTCTCTGGGAACTCAAACGGACCGATTAATTTACCATTTAAAATTCCTGTCCAATAGTTTATCTTGAAGCGATACTGAGATTTATCTTCTCTCAACAAATGTGGGTTTGCTACGTGCCACTCATGTAAGTTATTGCATATTCATATTTATATACTTATCGCATTTTTTCAGATGTGATTCATTCTCACAGACTTTATGAGATGTTGGATAAGAAACATTGTATCCCAAGTGCAACTGCATTGTTGATGTCGGAGATGCCTGTTCACAAATCATTGTTGGACTTTGGATTATTTAGGGTGTCAGGCTACATGTAGTCTATCTAAATGCCAAATGTGCAAATGCTCTGAAATTGAGTTTAAACTTGATCTCCTGCCCTATTTGATTTTTTTTATATTAGTGGGAACATTAACCTAAAAATTTGAGACCATAACTGTGAAAACTATTATAAGGTTGCAGCCCACACAAGGTGAAAAATTTTCAATTTTTCTTGAATTGATGCATCTTTTTGCAGATATAAACCATCCTGACCATTCAGGCACTTGAAAGCATATTTGAAGGAGCCAATCTTATAGAAACAAAACATGAATTTGCTTTTTGTGGCTTATATATGTTACACTGCAATTTGTAAATTAAAGGTAGGCTAAAGCCTGTATTGTATAATCTTAAAAATTGGAAGCTCAAGTTCAAGCCAGGCTTTGTTAGGCCTGGGATAGGGGGTTCTCAAGTGTCGAATGGTTAATGTCACATGTGAGATAGCTAAAATGTCACACGAAACTCAATAAAAAGCTTTCTTGAATATTGCAAATGACTTTTCTATTTGACAAAATCTCACAAAGCTGATGCCATGGATTGGAGATTGAATACTTGACATAAATGACAGCAAACTGGCAAATGATGACAATCATATAATTAAAGTTCCAGTTATGTAGCAAAAAGGATATATGAAATACATATTTTAACACTTATTGTTATATCAGTACTTCGGACTAAAATAGTTCCAGTGCGAGGAACGTTATTAGAGGAAAATGAAGAGTCAGTATATTTAAATTGGATACTTCAAAAAGTTTGGTACCTATGGTACCTACAGTCAATTTACATTAACTTTCCAAAGATGATCTATTGGAACTGTTTTAATCATAAGCACCTGTAACTGAAAGACTTCAACGTGTAACCTGGAGCGTAGCTACAGATGTAGTTTGGTCGCTCGCGCTGGGCATCTAGAAATTTGAAAAATGCATGCCCTTTTAACTAATTTTTAGACAGCTAATAATCGAATTTAATGATCTGTAATTGCACTTTACGAATCATACCCCATATACAGAAGCATAGATCAAACGTTATTTTTTGGTCCTTCGAGCTTTAGAATAATTCTAATTATGTTCTTAACGATTCACCGTCAACAAGCCTAATGACATTGATGACTAATAACGTCTGAACAAAAATTTGTATACTGACCCTGACAGTATACTTGCTGCGTTCTAAACACAAGGTGACAACGACTCTGGTAATCCAAATTGGTCACATCAAACACATTCACACTTTTTTCACGTTATGCACAGGAACCATGTTGATTTTTCGCGACGGATTTCCACGGCAAGTGAAAGAAAAACAATAGAGGACTGCGATTTGCGATTTCCTCCGGTTGAAAGGAGATGGGTGACTAGAGAAGGAAGGCAAACGTCAGTCGGCAGCCGAGGCTCCCGCTGTTGCCATATCGTCCGGGACAATTTTCTGATAAAGTGAATGCTACAGGTATCTCGTCAGTGGTGGAGAATGTGAAAGTAGATAGGGAAAATATATTGAGTGGGAATGTATGTAGTAGTATATATGTATGGGTAATCATAGGTGATGGTATACATAGCATAACCACGTATTTAAGGGTTATGTCAGGTTTAACATGTAGACGACTAGACGACAGTGTAGTTAATATGTTTGTAATTATGCACAAAAAAATCTTGGACTGAGCACTTTTTTATGAAATTTCTTTTTCCAAAATACCATTTCCCAGCAATACCATGACATCAAATGACAACACAAAACAAGTGACGTTGGAGAATAGATCACAGGAGATCGATTATTGTCGATCTCAGGACGAAATGGATGAGAAATTTTACAGCGCTGTGGTGCGTTTGTACATCACTTGGCAATATAATACAGTACACAGTAACGGAATGTAGATTGACAGATAGAATTTTTCTCTGGAATACTGTGAATCTTTTAGAACGCCTGAATTATTACATAGTCATGTAATGACGCTTGATGACAGCCGACTAATTTCTAACCACGTTTTCTGCGACCATGGTAGTTATTATATATATATACGTATATATATATACAATGTGTTTGGTCACGACATACCGATATTTGAGGGGGATATTTTTCAGCTATTTTTATCGACAAATCCACCCCCTACAATGTCATACCTCACCCCCTTTGAAATGGATCCATAGCGCTGCGAACAAAATTAGGGCTGACACGGATATGGCCTGCCGCTCAACACGACACATTGTTTTAAGAACAACAATGTGCATAACCAATAATGGACGACATTTTGAACAGCTTCTGTAACATTAAACATGTCCAAACTCTCTATAAAAAACATTGATTTGTTATTTTTATGTATAGACAGTTTGAAAACAAATTGCATTTTATTACACCCATTTTGACCCATGTTAGATAGCATTTATTGCTTAGGATAACAAAAAGCTGTAGAATCAGCACAAAAAAATTACAACTTCACAGACTAGTTTTTGAATGGTGTACGGAAATGCACAAAATAATTAATTTTCTTCCATATTTTTTTCTGTTTTTGTCTGTTTTCAAGTATGTTTGACGGTTAGTATCAAAACAAGTTTTTCAATAATCGCTAGGACAACATGTCATCGTTCGAATGACACCAAATTTATCATTCTGTGACAATTACGTACTCAGTTATAACCATTTTCATACATGCACTACCGTAATCGTAACGTAAAAATAAAAATGGCTGCCATTTCAAGGGGAATAATAATAATAATAATAATATTTATTTACTCAATGTACAAAGATAACAAACAATATGAGTAAATAAATATAAAATCAAAACAGGCCCAATAGAAGGCATCGCCTGTACATGGACCAATAATTTAAGTTGAAACTGTAGAATGCAAATGACAAAAAAGGACAAAAATTAGCTACAGTAGATTATGTATTTAGTTGATGTTCGTATTTATGAGTTTATGAATTTCAGTCCTAGATATAGAATGTAGCCACTTTTTTAAATTTCTTTTGAAACAATTTCCGAAACGTAAATCTTTTAAGTCTTTAGGTATAAGTTCATAAAATTTAGGCGCTAAATAGAGATATGATCGCTGCATTATAGATTTATGCGGTTGAGGAACTACTGTGCCACGAATTTTGTATCTGGTATAATGATTATGTTTAATTTTTTGGTCGGTGTTTACAAATTTATAGTAGTGAGTGATACTGTGTAAGAAATAAAGCTGTCTTATATCATACATTCGAACATCTGCATATAATTTTTCAGTGGGATAAAGTTTCGGTTTTTTAAATATCATTTTTAGAATACTTTTTTGAAAAACATCTAAATTATAGATATGTGAGGAACATGCAGCTCCCCATGCTAATATACCATAATGTGAGATGAGGCTCAATCAGTGCATGGTATAATGTTTGAAGATATTTTTCTGTCAATATATTCCCAAGGTATTTAATTTTGTAGGATACATATCTAACTTTCTTTAAAATATAATTGACATGGATGTCCCATCGTAAGTGAGGATCCAAGACCACTCCAAGGTATTTTATGTTGGGCACTCTATTAATTTGTATTTTTTGATCATTAATATTGAAGGAGAAATTTGTGTAATTTGGCAGATGTCTAGCATAAGATCCAAATGGTAAAAAATGTGTTTTAGAGTAGTTAATGCTTAATTTTCTACAGTTAAACCACCGAATAATTTTGATAAAATCATTTTCAATTACATTTTTCAGATCAGACCAGTCAGTGCCTTCATATAATATTGCAGTATCATCTGCAAAACTAGTTATTTTGCCAACACAATTAATTTGGAAAATATCATTTAAATATATATTGAATAACAGCGGACCTAAGACAGTTCCTTGTGGGACACCACACTTAATATACATTTCTTTACTAAATGATCCTGATATCTGCACAGATTGTGGGCGATTTGACAAATAACTTTCGATCAGTGAGACGCGTTTCCTCTGAAACCAATTCTCTCCAATGCTTCTAATAATAATTTGTGATTAACTGTGTCGAAAGCTTTCTTTAAATCAACAAAAATGCAGATTGAAGGGATTCTGTTATCAATATTTTGATATATTTGATTTACAATTTTAGTTATTGCGTCCGATGTAGCCTTCCCTTCTGTAAATCCATATTGATTTTCACTTAAAATTTTGAATTTTGTGAGGTATCGAATCATTCTAGTAGATAAAACTTTTTCAAAAATCTTTGGTACACTGGATATTATTGATATTGGTCTATAGTTGTTGACATCTGTTTTTGTTCCTGATTTATGTATCGGTATTATATTACCTTTTTTTAAAATTGAGGGATATATGCCAGATTCAAAGCATTTGTTGATTAGGTAAGTGAGTGGTTCTGTTATGTCCTCGGCTATAATTTTCAAATGCTCGCTTTTAATACCATCGAACCCAGGACTTTTCCGATTTTTTAAGGACATAACAGTGGTGTATACTTCATATTGTTCGACTTTATCCAAAATAAATGAGTTCAAAGTTCTTTTTGGAGGCTGAGTAATTTTCGCCTATGTCAGTAAAGAATTGTACAAATTCATCGCATATCTGTTGAGTATTTTTTAATACTGTTCCCGATGTTGTACGTTATTTAACTCAGTGACACACTCTTTAAATTTTGTTTTCCCAGTAATCTCATCAATAGTTGTCCAAAGCCGCTTAGGATCATTTAAGTTATTATTCAATTTATTTAGGTAATGTTTTCGTTTGGTTTGCCTTGCAAGCTCTATAAATTTATTTTTATATTGGTTGTAACAGTCGGTATTCTCTGTAGTTGGCGTTAGTTAGTTATAGTCTTTCTTTTTCTATTGCCGATGTTATTAATCCTTTGGTAATCCAGGAATTTCTGCTTTTCTCTTTGTGACTAATTATTACTTTATTGGTACTAATATCTATTAGTTTTTTTATTTTCTCTATGAACAGTCCCGTTGCTTTGTCTATATTATTTATAGAGTATAATTGTTCCCAGGATTCTTGTTTGACATTTGATATTAGTTTTGAATTGTATGAGGTAGGACATTGAAGGGGGGTGGATTTGTCGATAAAAATAGCTGAAAAATACCGCTCTTAAATATTGGTATGTCGTGACCAAACACATTGTATATACGAGGTAGCATTCATCATGAAAAATATACAGGGTGACTTCGAAGTTGAGTCATTTATTTTAACAGTGAGTAGATCTGATCAAAAGAAATGTTTTTTTCCTTTACCATTTTTCTGGTAAAATTAAGGTAACAAACTTATAGACCTTTGGAAGTTTGAGTACCGCCCTGTATCAATGATAATATTATGTGATCGTGTTTGGCAACAACGGATATAATCCGCCATCGGTTCATCGCATCGGAAACAAAAAAGCGAAAGAATTTGGAACGATGTTTTTACAATTATTTTATTCAGTTGTGTTGTATACAGTCAGTGTCAGTCGGTAACGCGTCAGTGAATAGTGGTGTCTGTTGCGTGGCTCAAACGAAATAAAAAATGGCACATGTTTATGCGGATCGGTTTCCCAATCGAGTGCAACCAACCCCTCGTGCCTTTGTTAATGTAGTACAACGGGCTCGTGAATCAGGTGACTTAAGACGGCATGCCGGTGCTCCAAGACCTCGCGATCAAATACAGGTCCGCACTGAAATACTTGTCGGGAGGATACTTTATAAAACAAGGTAAATTTTTTTTACACACATATTTTGGTTTATCTTCCTTCTACAATCATTATCTGAAAATTAATGACTCAACTTCAAAGTCACCCTGTATATTATGTCAATTTTGAGCAGTTTTTGATAACCAAATAAAATAAACATACAACGAACCATGAGAACTCTTATTCCGAAGGTTTTGAGCTGCGAAAGGAAAGCACACTTTTGACGTTCTAGAAGGATTACTTTGTTCTATTTCCGAACGCATGTAGACTCATCGGTCTCCTGATCAGTCGCCGTGCGCTGTGCGGGTTCGAGTCCCGTCCAGGAGAAATTTTTCTCTTGGCTATATATGTTGTGATTGTCCGTAGGTGGTAGACGATCTCTGACTGTCGAACGCGGAGGTACCACCCGGCGGATCTAGTAGGCGGAGCCAGAATGTGTGCATGTTGCATGCACACGTGTTCCTCGCCAGAGTCCGTGTGGCGTTCCCCCTTTCCCCTGTATCCACCTATAGAACAACGGTACCCAATGGGTGTTTATGCCTTAGGCCTTCGTGGTAGTGGGAGTATAAAAAAAACGGTACGTCAAGCAATTACGAACGCTAAAATTGTAACAGAGTAGTACAATGTACACTCTGTAATTAATTACAAAATACTGTTTAAGTTACTGTTTTTATTTGTTGTTTTTGATTATTTATTCTTTATATTATATTGAAAAATATTGTT